CCGGTGCAATGCAATGTCAGCTTGTGGGAAAGTTAGGCCATCACTGCCGATCACTGCAGCTCCTTTTGCAACTCGGATGCTTCCCATTAAAGTCAGTGTCACTGTCAAGTTGACAAGTTTTGATGTGCACAGCTGGGTTGGATGACTCTGGTGTTGGACTGGAAATATTATTTGTTAGGACATCTAAATACAGCCTCTAGAAAAAAGATTATACACTATGACCTCCTTGTACTGCACTGGAATCTTTCTACTCATGGCCTAAAAACGGTGGTAGCTTTCTAGATTTGGGGTCTTTAAAAGAGATTCATCAGGAGCCTGTTTAGCCCTGGGTGGGGGTACTGAACAAGGGCATGTGCACAGTATGTGGTGGATGGGTGTGTTTACCCAAATTTAATCTCAATTTTGAAAATACCACTGTTATTTTGCATTGTTAGTGAACTGGATAGTTTCCCCCTTTATAATAATTTTACTTACAAAGTGACTGTTAGTATATATTGGTTCTTGGTTTAATTTTATTATTAAATTGAAACATTTATGTTTCAAGTACAGCATTAATTTTTTTAATTTATTTTAAATAACCTATTCTTAACAAGAAATTACCTGTGTGGGGTCCTACTACTGTTTAACTTTAGGATTTTATGATATTCAAACACTGAGCCACTGCTTCCCTGCCTGGGCGCAACTGACACAAGCACTTATCCCAGTTCTTGTCATATACCAGTCGCTCAGTGCACGGTAGCCATCATGATTTACTATTGCTATTGCCAGTTATAATATTTTACCTTTGCAATTAAAAAAACTGAGCCATTGAAATGTTTGCAGCTCTGTGCAAAATGCCAGTTCAAATTACATTCCTACAGGAAAAAAAATAAATCCATTGCTTACCACCACTCCTTTTACTATAGTTTTTTCTAGTCATTGTTTGGTTGTCTTAAGTTAGTCTTCTAGCATCTCTTCAAGAAAGGCTTTTGGTTGAGTATAAAATTCTTGAGCCATACCTTCTTTCCTTGAAGCCTTGCTCATCTGTCTTCTAGAGTTGAATGTTAATGTTAAGAAGTCTGAAGTCAACTGGATTATTTTTACCCTTAAAAGTAGCCCAATCTTTTTGGTTCAACTGCCCAAATGATTCTTTGACTTTTTACTTCTAGTAACTTCACTAGGACATCTTAGTGTTGATTCTCCTAAGAGTTTTTTGACTTTAGAAAATCTTCCCTGAATCATACCTTTAAATATGCCTTTTATGCCATTATATTGGTCTTCTTCTTGGTGAACTCCAATTATGCGTATGTTGAGTTGCCTTATCTCCCACTACTTTCATTCTCTCTCTGGTCCTTTCTATCCTTTTACTTCCTTTTTATTTTGCTTTCCCCACCCTGGCCTCTCTCTCTTATCTTGTTTTCAGCAGTATCTATTCTCTCTTGGGCTGCATCCAATTCTGTCTTCATTTCATGTGATTTTTAATTTTATTCCACTTCTTTCCTCAGCTCTGCAGCTTACATTTCATATCCTGATGTCTTGCCATGTGTCTGATCTTATTTTAAAAAGAAAATTATATTATTTTTGTGCTCTTATTTTATAAAGGCAATTGCTTCATTTTTTTATTCAATGGGAAAATAGTCATAATTTTCATATGCTCCAAGGCAAGAAATTTTGCCTTTGAAGTAAGTATTCTTTATCTGCCTTTTATTTTTCCTGTTCCTTCCACCTTATCATCTTGTAGTCTTTTAGTACGGTTCCTTGTAATACGTTATGCTGGTTCCTTTTGGGCAGCCCAGCTTTGAATTAGTTGAGGTTTCTCTACCAGCTATTCGTACAAAGTTTATATAAGGGAAGAACTGAGTATGCATTCCAAGTAACAGGGAGTTTCCTTATGACACAGGGTTGTGTATGAGTCCTTTTAATCTTTACTTCTCCCCAGCCAAGAGAGATATGCAGCTCTGCGTCTCATCTTCCCTCAACACTGAATCAGACTGCTTAATGCACACGTGGCTTCATTCCTTGATCCGTCTTTCTTCCTCTGCCTCTTAGTACCAAAACAGGTTCAGACAATCTCCTATCACAACCTGTGTATCCTTTTCTTGTTGATGAAACAATGATATTGGTTTTGTGCCTCAAGGTACACTCCTCACCTTGGAGAAATGCATTTTGCTGGTTCTTTATAAAATCCATATAGCCCCACAGATAAGTCTCTCCATACTTCCTCCAGCACCCCTCCATGATCTCCAGTGCTTCTTGCAGCCATTCCACTTGTGTTGTGGTTCATGGTTTCAGATATCTTCAGATCTCCAGTATTCTCAAAGATGGAGTTTACATTTCTTTTTTCCATTCTCCTTGTTGCTTCGGAGTTTCAGAGACAAGAAGGGTAGAATGTCAAGTATACTCTGCTACGTTCAATCTGGAAGTTCTCAGTAGGAGTAACTTTTTATTACAACCAGGACTACTGTCACCTTATGATTTTCAAAGCCCTATCATGGTATCTGCTTTCCTATATGTGCTGTATACATGCTAGTTACTAGCAATTTAAGCCTAAAAAGGTTAAGTTGGCTTACTCAAGGTCTCAGAGCTGATAAGAACTCAGGTCTTGATTCCTGGCCCATGTTCTCATCACACTGCACATTCATGCATGCAGATGGCCACTGAATTCCGCTGACCTTCCTTCTAAGCACACTTACTGCCAGAAGCTGATCTCTAAGAATTATACCTAAGAAGGACTAAGAATAGCATAATTGACAAATATCAGGGGTGAGGGAGAAAGACCAAGAAAACAAGGTTAGTTCTCATTACCTGGCTTAGTGTCTGTCACTCCTTCCATAAGAACCAGTCCTACAGGCCGCTGACAGGCGATGTTGCAGAAGCGGAAACGTAGCAGGAAGTCTCGGCTGTACTTATGTCTCTCTGTAAACCGGGAAAAGCCATACAGTGAAAGAAAGGAAGAGGAGCCGCCTGATGAGACCTTAATATCAAGAAGCTTCCAGTGTAGGGACACAGAGGAAGTCTGGCTCTGAAGACAAGGAGATTTTTCCAACAGCTATGATTTCAAATTGTCCATTTCACTGGGTGACCATGAGGTCAGTGAGAAAAACAAAGGAATTTGCTGAGAATTGAGTTACACTTTCTCATCATTGAGGTGCCAGCTTTCTCCCAAAATAGGCATGGAGGCACAGCCAGCCAAGAATGTGGCACATGCTCACCTGATCTCTTGGGATGACAGGAGGTGACATACTGACAGCAATCAGTGATGCCCAGGGAGCTGGGCCATAGTGGGGCCTGCAGCTTCCTCTGGTAGAGCTGATGGGAGAAGTCTTCCTGTCCAGACACCTACAAAGAATGGGTAGGAATGAGGAAACTGAGATAGAAAAAGGAAACAGCTCATGTTTGGGGACTGGCAGACAAACACACACACACATAATCATACATGATGTATGCAAAACATGTAAGTCTCAAGGGAAGATTAGAAATAAGGAGCTAATTAAAACATTTTTTTTTTACTAGAAACACTAAAATGTCCATGAGACAGGAATGAGAGGTAAGACAGAGAGGTATGTGAATCAAAGAACAGAACTGTATCAACAAGTGGTCCCCTACGTTTCACCTCAGAAAAACCTTCACGATTCTGCACAGGGAATGTCAACTTTCAGGGGCTCTAACGTGCAATGGGAAAAGGTTTATTCTGATCTTTGCATCTTCTAGATCAAGGTCTAGCATCTACAGCCTATTACTGGGAAACCATGGATCAAACCGAATGGGAAATGAACCACAGCACTTTATCATACCCACGTCACCACCATCCTCCGTCAATGAGCAGCCTGGGAACGGACAGAGCACAGCAGGGGAAACACTCAGCAACATCAGTCATCTGTCCACCTTGAACATGTAGCACAAGTCCCTTTACTTCATTTAACAACAACAAATATTTCAGCGCCAACTATGTGCAAGACACTAGCTAAGGGCTGGGGAGAGAGCAGTGATAGACACAATCTCTCTGCCCTTAAAGGACGTAAATCTCCAATATGCCACCTGAAGTGAAACAGACCTGGAATTTAATGGGAATTTACTAGTTGTGTGACTTTGGGCAAGTTAGTTAACTCTCCTGGGTTCCATATCCTCTACTATAAAATGGGATGATAATACCACTTATAATTAAGGATCTTGATAATAATAATTGCTACCAAATTACTGACTGCTTCCTTTGAAGCAGGAACTGGAAAACACTTTATGTGCATTGTTTTTATCTACCAAACAACAACAAAAAACTCCTCTGAAGGAGGTCCAGTTATATCCCCAGTGTAAAGATGAGGCAAATGGGGCTTGCGGAAGTTAAGTGACTTGCCCAAGGTGGCACAGCAGGGATTTGAACTCCGGACTGCCTGGCTTCAGAATAAGTGCTCCTAACCATTATGCCTAATGGTACCTGTCACAAGGTAGGCACTTAGCAAATTATTTGGCCTGTTCCCTGAGCTCCTTAATTACAGCAACTTTCTGGCAGGATAATGCCTTTCTCTGCACACATGGCAAACAGGACATTGCTGGCACTTGAGTAACCTCATTAAAATAAAAGCCCAAAATGCTCCACAATAATTCAGTCATTTTGTATCCTTTCTCCACTGTGCCTTGCCAAAAGTTAAGCAATACATTGGATCAGTAAGTGCAAAACAGAGATTAAGTGACTTATAAAAATTAGCACAAGCTGAAGGCCCATGAGCACGGCTAAATAAACTATGATAAGCTATGAGGTATCTATGCTATCAGCATTCAGCAGTTCAAAGGAAAGAAACAGATCCATATATACATCACTGAGTGAAAAAAAAAACAATAACCAAGCAACAAAATGAAATACACCGTAATATACCATGTTTATAAACAGACACACGATAGATCATACACCAGCTGTTAGAAGCAATCACAGCATAGTAATGGAGGGCGGGAGCTCTGAGGCCAGGCCACCTGGTTCCAAATCCTGGCTCCACCACTAACAACCTGCAAAGCCTCAAGTGAGCCAATTACCTAACTTCTCTGTGCCATTGTTTCCTCATTTATAAAATGGGAAACTGAAAATTAATGCGTTAATACATGTAAAATGCTCAAAATAGCACCTGGCACACAGCGATGCTTAATAAAAGTAAATTACGATGACAATATCACAGGAACAGAAATTATCACTGTAAATGCATAGAAAACGATCTGGAAGAATACTACCAACCTGCAAACAGTTATTACTTGACTCTCAGGGGAGAGGCAGGGAGTGTAGGTCATAAAAGGCGCTTTGGCCTTATTTTATGATGTTTGAATTCTTGCAAAGATGTTACTTATGAATTACTTATAAACTAAAAATAAATTAATGATAAAGACTAAAAGGATTCCAATATGCCAAAGGCACTCAAGAGCTCCCAACTTCCAGACTTTGGGTACAAGAAGGCAGGAGGGACCCAGAACAGGTATAACTGAGGTCCCTGCCACAGGAGCAGCGCTGGATGCCAACACCCGAATCTCTCCCTAGGCCCTGCTCCCACCCCCAGAGGGCCCTCCCCCATTTCACCTTCCAGGCCGGCATCCCATGGTACTGGAGCTCTCCGTCCCTGATGAAGTTGTAGAGGGGTGAATCAGGGACAGAATTCAGGTCCCCACACAAGATGATGGAGCAGTGGCTGCCATCTGACAACCTGGCCACCTTGTCCACTTCAGCCAAGAGAATGGCCATCTGGGCCAGCTTGACATCACCCCGGCGTGGGTTGTACAGGACGTGGGTATTTGCCACACATAATGGGGCCACCGAGACTTCTCCCAGGCCTTCTGGGACTAGTGGCTGCAGCAGCAACACTAAGCCCACGTTATCCCGGTTGAGGAGCTCCAAGCCAGGCCGGAAGTACTCCACAGGGCTGGCACAGAGCAGACGGAATCTTGTGGGCTTGTAGCAGACAGCGCAGCCATCCGTCTTACACCCGGTCCTCCTCTTGTAGAAACAGGTAAAGCCTGCAAGGAACATCCCACCAAGAAGCTGGATCAGAGTCCTTGAAGCCTGAGTCCCTCCAATCAGCAGCAGTAGCCCAGCGTGTGTGCATAAGGCATTGCTCCTGCCGATTCCTTGGTTCTGCAGAGGTTCCCTTACAGTTTTAAGCAGATGACCGAGAGGCTCTAGGGGAAGGAAGAAGGGTATGAAGAAATGCAAGACGATATGAAAAGCATGGAATCTGAAGTCAGACAAGTTGGAGTCCTAGCTCCACAACCTATGAGCTTGGTAGCTTTATGACCTTGAGCAAGTCACAGAAAATTTGAGAACCTCAGTTTCCTCATTGTAAAATGGGGATAATAATATTCAGCCTCACAGGGTTGGTTACTTCAAGGATCAAGTGGCAATATCCATAATTGCTTTAAAATTGCAGAACTCTATTTTCTTTCTCACCCACACAAAGAAGGAGCTAGCTCACAGGTGAGACGGAGGACTTACTAAGACAAAAGAAAAAGGTGGTGTCTTCAGGAGAGAGCAGACAGGGCTGTAGGAAGAAAAGACCATTGAGCTGCATTACCCATCATTCGCAGAGAGGGCTCCAGCTGCTCCCAGTAATGATCTTCCTGGACTTCCTGGAGACACAGGATCTGGGAAATTGACAAGGAAACCAATCACTCCAGCATACCCAGAGCACTGCTTGTGACTCCCACTCTAGGAGCAGGCACTGAGGCCAGGTGGGAAGCTGCTGTGTGCCTCAGGCAGGGTCACATGAAACTCCCCACAGGGCTGACTCTTCCCAGACAGCCACCCCCAGCAAGAACAGGCCCAGAGTTGAGCTGAGGAGGCCAGACACATGCACTGGATTTTCCCAGTCCTTGAATCCCTTGTCTCCCTCCCTGCATAAAGGTGCTGGAAAGCGCACATAGGGAGTATTCTCAGCATCTGCCAAAATTCATTTACTCCAGGCAGGCAAGCTCCAGCCCTAGGCAGGACTCCAGTCCTATGAACAACTATGAGAATGAGCTCATCTTCTAAGAGCATTGGGAAACAGCCCAGGTCCAGAGCAAATGCAAGGTGGCACTCCCCCTAACCCTTTCACTCACATCAGGGTCCCAGTGCTGGAATTCCTGCATGAGATTTGCAAAGCGATAGTTCCAATTAAGGATATCCGGGTGGCAATGCAGATAGAGCTCGGAGCTCTGCTGCATCAGGTCCTGGGCCAGGATGTTATAGGACATCACAGTGAACTGGAACTGAGGGCCATCCCCTGCCTCCAGGCCCTGAGCATCTAGCTGAGTAGAGAAATCCTCCCATTCTCGCCACAAGATTTCTGCAAAGGGGTTAGAAGAGGGCCACAACTACATGTTACCCACAGGGCCAGCCATCTCCACTCCTGACTCAGTGTCATTGTGCCTAGGTTCCTTTTTTCATAGTCCATGTCACCCATCCCTCTCTGTGGTGATTTGAACAGCACTCTAAGGACATTCTCAGACTAGACAGTAAGCTCCACAAAGCCAGAAACGACCTTGGCCTGTTCACCACTGTATCCCCAGTACCTAGCACAGCACCTAGCATCTAGTACATGCTCAATAAACATAGGCTGATAATGTCTCACTTGTGACAAATCCTTGGGTCTCTGGGGAATTATTCAGATGAATGTGCTTAACCGTTACCTGAGGTTAAAGACATTTCTAGACTAATCTCAGCCTTGGGTATTTTCTAACCCCTGGAAAAGTCTGTAGGGTAGAAACCACAACGTGTCCCGCATCTCCCGTAAAGCATGGAGCTGCATAGTGGATTCCAAACCAATTTGAGCTACAGAACTCATTCTTCAAATTTTAAATGGAAGCCCAGTATGTACCACAAATAAAACTGGAGTTATTCTGGTTGAGGTAGAGTGGAGCCCCTGAGAGCTCTCCACCCCTTCTGCCAGAAAGCCCTTGGTCAACCTCCAGAGAAACAACACACTGAGAATCAGAACTAGGGTCCACTTTCCGTTCTGCCACTACCTGGCTATGTGACTTCAGACATGTCCTGCTGCCTCTCTGCACCAGGGTTATTTCATCTGAAAGACCATGGGGTTGGAAGAGATGATCTCTAAGGTCCCTCTATATTTGACACTGCAAGATGCTCAGAGAAACAGAAGGCAGCGGCAGAGTTCGCCACCAAACATCTTCTTTAGCAATGGCTCTGCCCACACCCACAACAACCTACTACCCTGGCTCGCTCAGTCAATCGTCAGACTCACCATGATAGGGAATTTCCACTGGGGGAGGCTGCAACTGCCCCAGGCCCTCATAGGACCAGATGGGAGCCTCTTCCTGTGGCATAGGCTCAGGTGCTATGCTCCAGGCCACCACTGCAGGGTCCTCTTCCCACTGCTCTGCAGCCAGGGCACCCATTGGGAGGACAGCACAGTCTGCATACTGGAGACCAGTCTGTATGGGTACAGCTGCCCACACTGGGCCCCCGACCTCTGGCAGTGGCTCTTCTCCTAGCACCTCGGGGAAAGGCTCCTCTAGGTTCTCTGCTGCCCGCAGGTCACTCAGCTGCCTGCTGGACCACTTGTCCTCTGAATCAGCATCCTGTTCTCCGGGATTTTCCATCAGGAGTGCCAGGCTGCTCTGGGCTAGTCCTTTATCTACTAGGAGACCTTCGCTCACTGTTGAGAGCACCTGGCTCGACGCGTCTTCTTGCCACTGCTGCAGCAGGCCCTCACATTCCTCTTGGTCTGGGCCCCGAGGAGCCATGGCAAAGTCACCCTCTACCTGGGGGGACGAGCTCTTCGCCAAGAGGGCATTTTTTCGACATGTGAAGAATGCATCTAAAAAGAAAGCCAAAATACCTGTTATAAGATGACAGCATCACCCCACCCACTCTCTTCTCCCAAGTAGGATATGAATCCCATACAAGGAAGAATCACATGCACCTTGCACATCATTGTTCCATCACAGAGCCTGCCCATTTTATTCATCATCATCATCAGAGTGAAGTACTTACTATGTGCCAGGCACTGTTCTAAATGCTGTACAAGTATTAACTAATTTATATGATTCAGGATCTGATAAATATTCAGTGCAGGGACAAAATGGCTATCCCACATAATCTAGGACAGAGACGGTCATATATAACACACCTCTTCATCTACAGGTTAAGACTCCTATTAAATACCAACTCCCTGGTTCTAAGAGCCACATTACATTGGAACCAGAACCTGACCATGAATCAGAACTGTGAGTTACGGCCTAGCACTGAAATTAACAAAATTATGTGACCTTGGACAAAGCCCCCGAGTGAGATGGACTCACTCTTGGCTATAAAATGGGGACAAGGGAAGTTTGAACTAGATAATCTCCAAGAGCCTTTCTAGTTCTGTAAATCCCCTAATCTATGAATGCATTCCAAAAGAAAAAGTCCTCAAGTAGACAAAAAAGGTGTCTCAAAATCTATAGTTTACTTTTTAGCAAAAGCCCTTGGTCCCCTTCTCAAAGCTATTTATTCTACTCATAAATGTTCACAAACTTCATTATTTGCTTTCCCATTCCATAACGCAACAGAGGCTGTAAATCGGAAAGTGCCAGCAACTGACAGCAAGAGACAGCTGTCATCTCTCTGCTACAGAAGCCACAAATGACAGCCAATAGGCAAGAAAGCAGGTGGGAAAAACTCGTAAGAGCCCCCAAACTCCAAGCACAGTATTTTGGTGCAAGCAAACACCCCCTACACACTAAATCTCTTAGGGTATGGCACAGGACAAGTGACATGCATGATGGTGTCCCTCAATCATCAGAGATTCATTATATCAGCTATATTTTTAAGGAAAGAAAAACAACAAAATGGTTCAATTGTTGAAAGACACTATCTTATTTATGGCCTATGTGGATTTACATCCCATTAAACCAGTTTTCAACCAGGGGTGATTTTGCTCTTAGGGGACACGTGGCATTGTCTGGAGACACTGTGGTTGTCACACTGTGGGGATGCTACTGGCATCTAGTGGTTAGAGGATAAGGATACTACTACTGAACATGCTATAGTGCAAAGGACATCCCCACAACAAATTATCCAGGTGCAAATGTAATAATAATGCTGAGACTGGGAAACCCTGCTTTAAACCAATGGCACCCCCTGGCTTTAGTCTCAGGGACTTGCTAATTCCCTGCCTCTGTGTATATGGCAGAGGCAGAGGTTCTTTGGTTTACATGTGTGCTGTTTGCTAGTTTTAAAAACTTAGGTTTTTATTGTTGGCAGGGGTTTGTTTTTCAGCAGCAGAATCCTTTATTTTTTTTAAAAAAAAGGAAATCTGTGAAAACCAAACACAGGAAGTTAATGTAAGTGGGACTACTTTAATGGGTGGGTGGGGGAGAGGGCCCTTCCTCTGAGATCCCTAAAACTCTAACAATAGTCTAGAAACCTCTGGACTAGTATATGTCACTAAGGCTGCCATTATGGACATTGGAAGAGCTCCACAGATGACAGCAACACGGTTAAAGGAGTATGCTTGAGTTCCCTGAAAACCAATGACTTCTGTGGAGTTGCTTATTCCTCAGTTATGTACACACAAGCCATTCCTAAACTGAGTGCTCACTATATGCTGAGCAGCGTCCCGGAGACACAGTGAGCAAAACAGACATGACCCCGCCCTCCTGGAGCTTGGGTTCCAGTAGCAGACAGAAATGAACATTTCATACGAAATCCACATACATATAACATAAGTTACACACACCAGAAAGGAAAAGCACAGAATGCACAGCTGGAGCCCTCATTTCTTAGTGCTTCTTGGCCCTGTCCTGCCCCCTACATTGCCAGGGAAGTCTGGGAGTTCCGTGGGGTCTCTGAGAGCAAGTGCTGGTCACATAAGAACCTCGGGAATTTCAAGACCAGGAATGAAAAAGCGCAGGCAGATCACGAAAAAGTGAAAGAATAACTCTCTTCTCTCTCTCTCAAGTATCAGCTGGGCCTGCAGCCGCTTCATCTCTAAACTCACGGGAGACTGACTGCTTCAAAGCTGAGGTTTAAACGCGGCTCTCGATTCTGGGCGTCCGTTTTTCAACCAAATACTCCGCCGACGGAGGGGAGTTGAGAGACAGCTGTGAACGGTGTGGCGTTAACCCAGGGAAAGACAGGGACGTCCAGGTCTTCAGTCCACGGACCCCCAAGGCCAACTGGCCCCTACCCACAGAGAACTCGAGCATTCGCCTGCGCCCCGAGTTACCAACCCTCTCCGACACCCCCAGGGCAGTGAGTGACTCAGCAGCCCCCAGGGCCTCTCAGCACCCCCGGGGCCAGGGAGGGGCGGCTTCTGCCCCTTCCCCAGCCCCCCCTCCGCGTTAACCGTGGCCCAAGGACCCCAGAATACAGGCGTGAGCAGGGGGTCGCCCACGAGGGTCGAGGGCCAGGACTGGCCCCGGGGCCGAGGGCCACCTCCCCACTTTGGCACTGCTGGGGAAAGGTGGTTCGCACACCGCCTCAGGCCCCGTGGGGCCGGCTCGGGCCTGGCTCCCGCCTATGAGCACGCGGGGCCAGTACCTGAGATGGCACGGAAGAGGCGCGCGGCCGGCAGCAGCAGGTAACACAAGCACGACGCGATCATGGCCGGAAGCCGGCGCCGGCACCCACCGCCCCTCCTCACCGCAGCCCGCCGGGTCTCCCGCAGCTCGGCCCCGCCCCGAGCTCGCCCCGCCCCCGGGCCGTCTCACGTGGGACCGCAGCGTTTCAAAAACAACTTTATTGGGAGCGTAGGGCTACACGTGCGCCCGCACGGGCAGGTGGCTGGGGGCGTGCCCATGGCAACGGGCGCGGCCTGGTCCCCCGAACTCCTCCAAGCACCAAATTAACTGCCTCCCTGGAGGCTCCACGGTATTATTCAAAGGCCACTTCTGCCACCTAACTAGGGGTCCACCATATAACCTCTCCGCCCCTCGGTTTCCTCATTTGTAAACTGAGGGGCTGGACTTTCTCTAAGGCCTTACTCCCCCCACCCCACCCCACCCCACCCACCCACTTCTATAATCTCATCTGTCTCAGCTGTAGAGAGGGGAGAGCAAGTTCTTCCCCATTTTTTTTTTCCTGACTCTGCTACCGTCTTCCCAGCTCAGATTCTAAGTCACAAATTGAGTCCACATCTTTGTCTTTCTCATCCTGTTCCAAAAGGGCCCTCTTTTTACCTATTCTGTAAAAAAAAAAAAAAAGGGGGGGTAATTGGTAAGGGAGTCAAGAAAGGGGGAAAAGAAACTTCCAGAAGGGCAGGGACTAAGTCTGTTTGGTTGATTCGTTGGTTTTCATTAAGGGATCTCTAGTGCCTACAACAGTGTCAGGCACATAGTAGGAACCAAATAAAGCTTTGTTTACAGACTGATCAAAGCATATGTCACTAAATTAAGGCCAGGACTTCTATGACACCCAAAGACCTCCCCCATCCCTGACCCACAATCATTTGCCCAGCCACACTCCGAAGAAGGAAGGACTGTATAATGCTACCAGTTTCAGTACCCTGCGTCTGAGCTGTGCAATTTCCAATTTGTGGCTGGAGCCTCGGTTGTTCAGGGAAGCCTTCTGGGGAGTCACCGGATCCAGGACCAGCTGGGTACATCATAACACTGAAAGGCTAAAAGGAAGAAGGGGAGTTAGTGCTGTGGTCTTCCCACGGTTTTCGCTTAGCTCTAGGCAAGTGTCTGCCTTCAGGCAATAGCACCCCTGCCTTGGCCTGACATGAAGCAGAGGCTCCCAGGGGCGACCTGAAGATTGGGAAACCTCTTGGAAACTACTGTGCAAATGTTACCTAAGGAGCCTCCAAAGTCAGACCCATTCCTTTGATGTGGCTTAAATAAACCTTCCTTGTACCTGCCTTCCATTTTGTCCCAATAGTTACCCAGAAGCCCAAGTTCCAAATCAGATCCTAAATCAAAGTACTTAGCTAGAGATTATTTTTATCGTTTTGGGAAATTAGGGTTTTCTTATCCAGTTGGAAAATGTCTTCAAAATATGAATTCCTTGGCCCTACTTCCAGGGTTTTGATTTAACAGGTCTGTGGTGGGGATCTTAAATACTGACCAAATTATTCTGATGAACGTTTGGGAACCTCTGCTGAAGGACCTAGCCTCCACTGAGCTATTCGTTCATGTGTGAGCAAAATGTGTCAGGCCAACTGATGCCATGTTCTTTCAGAGGCTTTCCCTGAGGCCAATTAAGCGAGGCTGCCCTCTTTGTTTCTGGATCCATAATCAGCTCTGTTGCAAAGTATAGAGTAATGTGAGAATCACAAGTTTTGGAGTTAGACCACCTGAGTTCAGATCCTAGCTCTGTGACTACCCATGGAATTTCTCAGGTTACCTAACCTCTTGGCGCCTCAGTTTTCTCACCGTGCTCAACCCAGGGTAAGCTCTCAAATACTATTATCTGTTTTAAATTTAGGCCAAAAACAGCTCTGGCTACTGCTAATGTAAGATCATCTTCCACAATCCATGGCATAAATCCCTTCCAAACTGGAATGTGACATTGCTAAGCAAGCCATAACTGCAGATTCTAAGGAGACTTGGCCTGGAGAAGTGCCTCAGGCTTCGCCGGTCAAAGGAAAATTATAAGTAGAATTTGTACCAACTGCAGCCTCAGTATGTCAGAAATATTCCAAAAGACCGGATGAGCCCCCTCAGTTCACCCCAACTGATTACAGTGGAGGCAATGATAGACATCTGTGTCCACTGAGTGGTTTCAAGAGCGCAGACCTATCTAGTGAGCAAGTGTAAAGGTTTGCAATACCTTGAGGGATTTAAAATGTTCTTTTAGAGGCAAATTTTCAGGATATAGGAAACTTAAGCCCTTGAGGTTTCAAATTTTACTTATGCCAACAGGCATGTGTGGAAGTTCAACACAGAGGTTGCCTTTATTAATTCATTTGTTGATTATACCAGGTGGCATAATGCTTCCTTCCCAGTTGCAGAAGCTACTGACCAAGGCCTAGAGCAATGCTGACCAGGAGAAATATAATGTGAACCACACATGTAATTTAAAATTTTCTAGTGGCCTCACATAAAAAGTAAAAAAAAAAAAAAAAAAAAAGCAGGTGATATTAATTTTAGTAATATGTTTTATTTAACCCCATATATCCAAAAGTTTAGCATTTTAACGTGTCACCCATATTTAAAAATGAGATATTTTATGTGCTTTTAAAAAATGTTTTGTACTAAGTCTTTGAAATTTACCATGTGTTTTATGTGGACAGCACATCTTAGTTCAGACTAGCCACATTTCAAGTTCTCAGTAGCTAGAAGGGGCTACTGGCTATCATATTGATCAGTGCAGGTCTAGAGAGCTCAAACAGCCTCTCAGATAGGATAAGTTGAAAAACATTGTCCACGTTTAACTCTTAGGATAAACTGAGACCTGTACATTCCTAGTAAGTTGTCTTCTCTGAGCCTAGTGTTTCCTCTGGGATCTCAGGATATATGACTAGATATTCCTAGAATGTGCCAGATTGGTCTGAGTTGATGCATTCATTCACTCACTTATTCACTAGTTCATGCATTCAAGTATTCGTTTGTGATTTATCAAGCATTCATCAGTGTTTACCCCCCGCCTCACCCTTGTCTTTTCTTGGCCTCAAGCTCACTTTTCCTCTCTCATTGAAGACCCTAGCCCTGGACCCACAAGATTCCCTACCTCAAGTTTTCCCATCACCCATGTGGATGAGCCATCCCAAATCCCAGGAGGTCATTGTCACCACCTCCTCGTTGACCTCGTTCCCACTGTGCTTCAGACACCCTTGATGTGTCGTTACTGGGTACTGCTCCACCTCTGACATCATAAATTCACACACCCGCTCTGATGGATCGCCCCGTGGTTTTCTGCCTTTCCTACTTTCACTTCTGCGCTATCTGTTCTTTACCTTTATCAAATCCTTGAGTTCGCTATTCTGCCCTCAATCTACCCCTCAGTCATTATTTCCTTCTCTATCCAACATGGAATCCCCATGAACCATGTTTTAAATCACTCTCTTCCCAATATCAACTCTCACGCCCACTGTTCCTTGATTACACCTGCTTAGGTTTCATAAAACCATTCTTCGAATTGGCTCTTACACCTGGGCTGCTGAGCACTGGTGCGTAAAATTAACAATCATGGGGTGGGAGTTGCTTCTGTGTGAAGGGTGAAAAGGATAACTATTGCATTGTTCAGTACACCTGAAACTAACAATAAAAAAATTAACAATCACATGAATTGGAGTTATCAGTGTGCTGGTCTCCAACCTGACTTCAGCCCTCAAACCCTCCCCAGCAATCCTGTGTTCTTAATTAGCTTTCTCTCCCAATTCCGCAATGACCGTTCTTCTCAAACTTGCTGTCTTACTGCCTTCCTTCCTGCTCTCTGGAGATCATCTCCCTATCAACTTTGGAGAAAAAAAATAGAACCAAGTGACAAATTCTCTACTCCCTGTTGCCACACTGACCAGCATGCATAACCACCTTTACCTCCTTCCCTTCCTATTACCATAGCTGACCACTCCGCTGGGTTTGGAGTTCGCTTCCTTCTGCCTCCTCAGAGGTTGTGCCCCTTCTGTTCACCCCTCTCCTTTTCTTCCCTGACTTCTTTGAACATGCTCAAATTGCTCCTATATTATGAAACGCTCCCTCAGCCCATGCCCCCTCCCAGCCATGCCCCCATCTCCTCACCTCCCCTTCACAGCCAGGCTTCTTGAAAGAGTTGTGTGTGCCTGCTGTCTATACTTTCTCCTCTCTCTCATTCATCTTCATTCACTGAAATATAGCTTCCACCCTCATGACTCCACTGAAATTCCCTGACCCAAGTTCCCAGTGCCTTCCTTGTTGCTAAATTCAATGGACGCTCTCCAGGCTATATTATTTTTTAACTATTCTGTAATTTTGCATGTCCCTCCTGGGTTTCTGTGACATTCTTGTTTTCCTTCTAACCCTGTGGGCCTTTTACCCCAGTATCTTTCATTTATGTTCCTCTGAACACTCCGCTTTTAATGATGGCGTTTCAAGGATTTCATCCTTGTCCTCTCTCCCCTTCTCATTTTAAAGTCCTTCCCTAAGAAACTTTCATGACTCCAATGGCTTCAAGTACCATCCATATACTGACAACTCACACATCTACATGTTAACCCTTTCCTGGGCCACTGACACTTAAATCCTTTTGCCCATGAACCTCTCCAGTGGATATCCCAGGGGCACCTTGAAGATTCAACGTACCCAAAGTTGCACTCATCACCTTCCCCAACCATCCTCCAAAAACCACTGCCAGCTCCTCTTCCTCTTCTTTATGAATGGCACGATCATCTATCAAGTTATACTTGCCTCCTGCTTTTTCTTCTCCCCTTTACTTTCATATCTGATTTATCCCCAAGTCTAAGTGGTTTGGCCTTCTTTGTAGTTATTTAGCCAGTCCACTTTATCCCTGCAGCCACTCCTAACTGGTGTTGATCCTTTTCCTATCCTCAATCCGCTCTCCACCCTGCCGCTGGAGCAATCTTTCTACTATGCAAGTCATATCAGGTCACATTGCTGCTTGAAACCTCCCTACAAACCGCCACTTTCCTCTACTACAGGCCAAACTCCTTAGCAGAGCATTAAAAGCCTCTGCTCAGCTCCCATTTCATCTCTTAGCTCTACCTTCTCACCACCACCCTTCCACAATGAGAATCACACTCCAGTCTCACCAAACTACCTGAGGTTCCCTCAATGCACTTTTTCCCCAGCCTCAAATACCTTTCCTCCTCCACTGGCCCCATCCCTCTGCCTTCACCTGGTTACTGCCTGATGGACCTTGATGTCTCAGCCTAGACATTCCTTCCTCAAGGAAGCCGTCCCAGATCTCCAGCACCCACCCACACACACACATACCACTGCCCCCAGTCTAAACCAGAAGTGTCCCCCTATTTGCTCCTGTATTGCCCTCCCTTGTTCTGGGCTCAACATTGTCACTGTCTGTGTGCTCATCAGTACCCTTCAGTAAACTGTGTACTTCATGAGGTTCACCACTCTTATCTTCATCATCCAGCCCAACGCCAGGGCATTCAGCACATTGAATGAATGAATGAATGAATGAATGAATGAATGATCCTTCTTTCTGAAGAGATTCCGTTTCATACAAAAACCAAGCATAGGGCCGGCCGAGTGGCTCAGTTGGTTAAGAGCTCACTCAAGAGGGCGAACTCTGAGCAACAGGGTCGCCGGTTCAATTCCCGGCCCAAACTGAGCTGCCGCTGAGCTGCCAACAGGTGGCAGGATGGCTCAGCTAAAGAAAGAAAGAAACAAACAAAAAAACCAAGCATAATAAAATCCAAACTTGCAAAAGTGGACACATAATGGGGAATTGATTTGCATTTCCCAAAGATAGTTTGTTTTACAAAATAATTCTGAAAATGCCCCCCCACCCCGTATTTGAAATCTGACTTGATTTACAACTATCATTAAAAAAAATAAAACCCCTTGCATAAAATTGGATATTATTACATCTAATCATATTGGCTTCTGTTTCTTTCTTTGTTGTGCTTCCTCATCTTGCCTACTAATGTGGTTCATGCCAACTTTCTTTCTTTGATTCTTTCTCTCTATTCTTTCCCCTGGAGAACTAGGACCTTCAGTAACT